CAACACCCAGAGCAGCCCTACTGTTGGCTCTCCAGATCGGATAGCTCTGGAAACTGAAGGATCTCAAGCCCAGCATCCGAGGAAGGCCCCACAAATTCAACAAGGAACCCGAACAGCATCTCACAGGGACTCATCCACACTAGAAAATTTAGTAGTATGGGAGGGAACAGGGCCTCTCCAGCTAAACTGTCTAAGCAGTCAAGGCTTCTCTACCTGTTAAAATCAAATTACTCAGCTTGCAGTTTAGTTACTCTCTGGGGTCCAGAGGAACTGACTCTGGAGAACAGCAGAGGGAGGCTGTGGAAAGCAAAGTGCTTCCTGTGTGTATGAGAGAAGGGCACATGCCTACATGAGTATGTGTGTCTGTGTGAGTCTCTAGAGGAGTCAATATCATCTGGAAAGCCCTTGAATTTCAGGGCTTGAGAGGCTAACTTTTTTTTTTTTTTTTTTTTTGAGATGGATTTTCTGCTCTTGTTGCCCAGGCTGGAGTGCAACGGCGCCATCTCGGCTCACCGCAGCCTCCAGCCTCCACCTCCCAGGTTCAAGTGATTATCCTTCCTCAGCCTCTCCAGTCGCTGGATTACAGGCATACGCCACCATGCCTGGCTAATTTTGTATTTTTAGTAGAGATGGGGTTTCTCTATGTTGGTCAGGGTGGTCTCGAACTCCTGACCTCAGGTGATCCGATTTCAGGGTTTTTTGGTTTCTGTTTTTGTTTGTTTGTTTTCAGAAAACATCTACTTGGGACCCCAGAGTTTCTGACCCCAATCTTATTCCCTTCACTCAGGGGCTCTGTGAGACCCCACTCAGAATCCCAAAAGACACCTTCTGCAGTACAGCTCAGCCCTCGTCCCTGCCCACCTGTTCCTGGCCGCAGCTCCACGGTGCAGTAGCCCTCAATCCACTGATAGCAGGGGAAATGGGACACCGTACCATCCGGTTCGGTGACACAGATACGGCTGCAGTACCAAGAGTCCTTGCGGAAGAAAGCATAGCGCTCCTTGTGTACACGCAGCAGCAAGAGCTCACCCAGCTCCGCTGAGCATCGGACCTTGTACTTCTGCACCTGAGGGGACCAAGATAGCAAGCAGGTGAGAGGCGGGAAACTGCCAAGGCGGTCCTTGCACCTTGCAACGTGCATCTACGCCTAAGCCTATTCGGACACACAAACCTGATCTGCTGCCAGCCCACACCGGGCTTTTCTATGAATTAGAAAAAGGTGCCCGGACATGGCGCGGGTGGCTCCGTCTGTAATCCCAATACTTTGGGAGGCCGAGACGGGAGGATCACCTAAGGTCAGGAGTTCGAGACCAGCCTGGCAGACATGATGAAAACACGTCTCTACTAAAAATACAGAAAATTAGTCCGCCGTGGTAGGGGCACTTGAAATCCCAGCTACTCAGGAGGCACAGGCAGAAGAACCGCTTGAACCTGAGAGGTGAAGGTTGTAGTAAGCTGAGATCAGGCCACTGCACTCCAGCCTGGGCAACAAGAGCGAAACTCCATATCAAAAAAAGAAAAAAAGAAAGAGAAAGGGTGCCTGAGCACAATGGGTACTGCATTTTACTAGCTTCCTAGGAGGGCTGGGAACCCTTGTGAAGGCCACCTGGGGCTGACAGAAGCAGGCAGATCCCCCCTCCGGGTAAGAGGAAATCCAGGCTCAGAGAGGAGAAGCAACTTGCCCAAAGCCCACTGTCAATTACGGGAGGAGTTTAGAAGCCAGAGAGTCTCTCTACTCTCCGCCCAACGCTCCTTCCTCTCCACAGTCCTTCCTGGATGGAGTTTATCTAATCTCCAGAAAAGACAGGGACCTCGATGGGGAAGGTCGGGAGGTCAGGGCCGGTATCCCGAGTTCAGAGAATCGCACGAGTGTAGGAGGAATGCTTCTCCTGCCTCGGTTTCCCCTACGGGCCCTGCCCCTCAGAGGTCGCGCTTCCCTCTCTCCTTTGTACTCACCGATCCCGGGGCGAAATCCCTGCCCATTCGATCTAGCCGCTGCTTGGGGCTCTCACCACACGTGCCCACCAGTGTGACAGAGATGTTGTCCAGTGTGCCGGCCTTCAGGTAGGGACCAGTGGTCACACACAGGCGGTACACTGCCATGATGGGAGGGAGGAAGTGCTGCCCCCGGCAACGCTGGCCACAGCAGCAGCCGGCCTGGAGGAGGAGAGCGGCAGGTCGGACCGGGGTGGGCTTCTGGGTGGAGGCCTAGGGGCTGCGGGGTAGGATAAGGCTGAGAAAGGGCCCAGCTCTCTCCGGGATGTTCCTGGGCTTTCTCCCTCTCTCTCCGAAACTCCCTGCTGGAGGCTCGGGCTCCCTCTCCCCGCCCACAGCCTTGCACTCTAATACTTGTCTGCTTGTCTCCGACACAGCCAGTCCCTCTGGCTGGCTCACCCAGATAGATATCAAGAGCCTGGGTTCCACCGCGGAGGGAGGACCCCGCTGCTGAGACCGAGACAAGGAGGAGGTGACGCCTGTATAATTGGGACACTGCCCTCCGCCTGTTCCGTGGCCCGGATTGATGCCCTAGAGTGCTTGTCCGCCCACTCCCCAGTGTCCCCCAAGATCCGCTCCTCCCCTTTCCCAGGCGGAGCTGAGCACAGGGCACAGGCATTCCTACCCGTGAATCATCCGTCTCGGTCATAAATCACACGCGACTACAGCCACACGCAGGTGAGTCGCACACGCATTCCAGCACATGTCAAATGGTCAGGAACAGCGCCCCTGTCACCCCATACACCGATCCTCCCCCTCCCCCGACCCCGCACCTGGCCCTCTTTGTCCTCAGCCTTTGGCACGCCCGACCTCAGTCTCCGCTCTGGAGTAGGGCCAGTCAGGAAAACGAAATACAGCGCCGGCACATAGCATCTGAAGGCCCCACGTGGCATTCTTTCCGCTCCATACCGCCCTGAGCCTGCGGGACCCTGGGCAGGAGCCGGGGTATCCGGGACCTGGGCCACGAGTGGCTGGGGATGAACCTCTAGGAGAGGGAAGCCCAATAGCCCACGGCGGCCCCGCGCGGCCGGGTCTGGAGCCACACGGTTCCAGCCGCCACGACGCTCCAATCCCTGCGTCCCAGCCTCGGCTGGGGCTCTAAGGATGGGAGTCAGAGAAAGCACAGTCAGCTGCAGGCGGGCTTCACTCGCTGACTCTGAATCTGCGCCAGAATTGTCTGCTCAGATATACACGATCCTCTCAGTTCTACAGGCCTGGATTTTCATACAGAGAACGCTCTTATAAGCAAGGAGCAGACGGCGAAGAGCAGGGCCCGGATAGCTCAGTCGGTAGAGCATCAGACTTTTAATCTGAGGGTCCAGGGTTCAAGTCCCTGTTCGGGCGCTTTCCCCTTTTGCTTTTGGATTACCTCACTTCTTCGCATGAAACAGTGGAAAACGGTAATAAAAAAGGTTACTACTTTTTAAGATTAACTGAGACTGAAACTTGGTTTCCACAAAATAGAGCAAATGACTGTGGAAGGTAATAAATATGCTTTAAAGCCGTATCTACGAATTTAATTTTTCTGGTAGCCACGAGTTAAACAAAATTAATTTGACGGATCTATTTTACTTAACCTAATATAATCAACATTTTTTACTTATTAATGAAATTTTAAGTCTTTTTGCTCGTGCAAAGCCTTCCAAAGAAGATGTGTATTTAGAGGTTGGCAATACATCTGAATGTACATATTTCAAATGCTAGATAACGGTGTCTATCATATCCAACAGCAGATTTTGTTTTGTTTTCGTTTTAAACGGAGGCTGTGGAAGACGCACAGAATAGGAAGTCCAGTAATGTACATAATCTTGAAAAGATTGAGTAAAGGGGTTCCATGGTGTAATGGTTAGCACTCTGGACTCTGAATCCAGCGATCCGAGTTCAAATCTCGGTGGAACCTTACAGTTTTTTGAATACCGGTATGCTGCTGCACACTATTAGTTGATTTTCACACAGAAGATAACGCCTATGACCCCAGAGAATCCGGGAAAAAAAAAGTAAACTCGGACACTACCAATTGCTTGTGCTTTTCATACCAGATAATTGAGCCCTATAGCACAGTGTTAGAAGAAAATACAGTAAAGTATTTAAATATGTTGTAAGTTGAGCTAACATTTGAAAACATGTTAAAGATGTTACGAAGAAACGAAATGTTGTTTCAGCAGTTACTATCAGGTCTTAGCTTTAGGGATGGAAGCAGGCGTACACGTGTCTGGAAGGCCAAATAGGGAAGATGATGGTGAAACAATTTCCGGGGAAACTCATAAAATTACATGCTGCATGTAAATAGTAGCAGAACATAATGGAATTATATCAGGCGCTTGATCCACGAGAAAAACTCCAGCCTGGCAGCGGTGGGATTCGAACCCACGCCTCCGAAGAGACTGGAGCCTAAATCCAGCGCCTTAGACCGCTCGGCCACGCTACCCGCGTGAAAACTCGGTTTTCCTGTTGTCCTCCTAAGAGACTAGAAGTAAGGAATGGGGCAAACCTGAAAATGTCAAATTTGATCCAACTCCTTTTCCACATTTTTCAGACGAGGAACCATTGAGACTCTAAACCGCATAGCAGCAGATGCCAGAACAGATAAACAAGAAGAGACAGAAACACACAGAAATTTACAACAAAACTAGTTTATTTGGGTGAGACTATATCTGGGAGTGGGGCGCGCCTGAGACGGAAGCACCCCCAAGCGGGCAGCCGGAGCTCTACACTCGCTCGCTCACTCATTTTCGGGTGCTCTACCTCCCTATTTTTTCGCCCTACATGCGCCCTCTCTCTCACCTGGCTAACCAGCTTTGTGCTCGCTACCTCTACCTGGCTTGGCCTCTGAGATCCAAACCGCGCGCTCCTGGCACGTCCCACCCAAGTCCCTTACCCCCACTCCCCCACCCTGCCCCTTTCCTATTCTAGTACCCGTAAGCTACAAGACGCCACCGACCGTCAGCTGGCTCTGTGGCGCAATGGATAGCGCATTGGACTTCTAGTGACGAATGGAGCAATTCAAAGGTTGTGGGTTCGAATCCCACCAGAGTCGATTTTATTTAAATTTTTCCTTTTTTTTTTTTTTTTTGCGTTTTTTTGCTCAGAGGCTCCCATCCCTTCTCCCCCTACCCTATCTCTCTCGTTTTCCACCTGGTTTCAATTTCGATCTCAGTCCCCGCTCTGCTCTCTTCTTTACTTACCTGTCTGCCCCGAGGCTTGGGCCATGGAGAGCAGGACTGAGGGTGGGAGACAGAAGGGAAGGGAAAGCGGGCATGGACGTCGAGATAAAGGCAGGCCCCTGGCTCCGGGACACACGGGGATTTAATAACCACTTTATTCCATGCACTAGGGACTCTGGAAGGGACTGGGACTGGGCTGGGGGCGGAGAGAGTACAATCCTAGACGCAAGGGAGAAGTTGGGGCAGGGAAAAGGGACAGAAACCAGGGAAATATATATTTATATAGACACTCTAATATAGACCACATCTCACTCGCGCGCTAAGCCCGCGCGCCCCGCCGCCCTCCTGCTCTTCCGGACGCCCGGGTCCCTCTGCTGCCCTCGGGCTGGAGTCTCTACTCCACCCCTAGACCCCACCCCCCGACACCCCCAAGGCTCAGGGCCAAGGTCTCCAGAAAGCGGGCGGCGGGGGCGGCGGGGCCTTGGGCGCCCCATCTTGTCTGTGAGGCGGCGGTGGCGGCGGCAGCAGTCCGGTGAGGGGCGCCGGCGCGCCAGAATCCCCGGCGCGCGGGGAGCAGAGGGACGGGGACCATGCGCAGCGCGGGCTAGGGGGGCCCTGATGCACTGGGGGGCGCTGGTGCAGCGCGGGGCCAAGGGCCGGTGCGGCGGGGTCCAGGGATGGGCGAGGCGCTGGAGGCCTCGGATCTACCGGCTCGGGCCGGGGCGGTTTGGGGCGCAGGTAGCCATGCAGGGCGGAGAAGAGCTGGGCGCGGGCTGCCGGGCTGGCGTCGTGCGCGAAGGCCGCCAAGCGAAGCAGGCATTCGCGGAAACCGGACAAGTAGCAGCTGGCGAGCGCCTCGGCGTCCTGGACTGGGGACCGGGGAACCCCTGGAGCCGCGGCGGCGGGTGCGGCCGACGGGAGCACAGGTGGGCAGGGCAGGGGCCCAGCAGGGGTGAGGGAAGGGGCGGGGCGCAGAGATACCAAGGCCGGACAGGCGCACAGAGACAGGAAGCCAGATGGACGGAGAGAGGGAGAAAATGAGGGAGACAGAGACAGACACGCGCGGGTGTTATTAACCTCGCCTCGAAGCAGAACCGGCCACTCCCCAAGCCCACCATCCACTGTAGGGCCCGCCCGCTCTGCCCCGGCGCCAGCCTCCTGGCGTCCCCCCTCCCTCCCTCCGCTGCCCCACCCCCGCGCTGTACCCGGGGGCTCCACCCGGCTTCGCTCCCTCAAGTAGCCCACGGCGAACTCCAGTATCTCCGCTTTCTCCAGCTTCGGGTTCCGGAGGTTCTACAGACGGGAGGGGAGGGCGCAGAGACAGAAAGGGGTGGGGAGAAAGGGGGAAAGTGGCAGGGGGAAGAAGGGAGGGGCGGATGCGGGAGCTGGGGGCTGCCCCCGATCGCATTTGCGCACTGCCCACAGAACGCGAGGCCAAATGCGGAGTGGAGATGACCAACGAAGGTCCTGGCCCCACCCTGAGACGAAATTGTCCAACCCGAGGGGATGGAACCAATGTCCAACGCGTGAGGAGGAAGATTTGAAACCGCAACCCAGGAAATGAAATTAACCACCCGACAGAACAGAAGCTGGCTGATCGCGGGAGTGTGGGGGAGGGGGAAGCGGACATTTAGAGACCCACAGGGTGAAACTGACCGACCCCCGGAGCGAAATGTACAGAACCAGGCATTAAACTTACAGACCCAAGGGGTGGCGAAGAAGATCGCGTTCTGAGAGCGAGTGGGGGTCTGGGATGGAATTCCAAAGGCGGGACTCGGGTGAGGATGCCTTGGGGCCAGGGTTGTCAACCAAGCATGTGTCCCCACCCCAGTGGGAAGCCCTGGGACGCAGAAACGGGAAGCTTGGGGACCAGGGGCTAGCGGAGGGACTGACCTGGTCCCGGGTCCGCTCCAGCAGTAGCAGCCTCAGCTCTTCCAGGCTGCGGTTGATGCGGTCCCGGCGCCGCTTCTCCACAAGCGGCTTCAGCATCTGGGACCAGCGGGAAAAGGAGAGCGGGCCGACCGGACCGAGACTCAGCGCAGCCGCGCCGGCGTCGGATCCCGCCGCTGGGAGAGCCCGGCTTCCGCCCCGACCCCCATACCCCCGATTGCCCAGGGCCGGCTCCATTCGATCCCTCTCCGCTCCCCCTCCCAATGCCCCTAGATCAGATCAGTTTCTGTAGCTCGCCTCCCCGAGTCTTCGCATTCTCCTCTCTCAGTCTCGTCCTCCCACCTCCCCTCTCTGTGTCTCTCCTCCTCTTTCCTCTCTACGTCTCGGTCTCGGGCAGTCTCTCTCTGTCTCAGTGGAGAACTCTGGGGACCCTCTGTGCGCAGGCACGTGGGCCGCACGATGCGGGGCTCAGAGCTGGCGGCACTGAATATAGAAAGGGAGATACCTAGCGCGACTGCGCCTCCTCTTCTCCCTCAAAACCGTCTAGGCCGTCATCCTTCTCGACTGGTTCTCCTAAAATCTTCCATCAGTCTGAGGTCTCTGGAACCAATGCCCCGGGGCCTTCTCTACAAGACCGCCTTGGGCCAGCCCCTCCTGGCTCACGGCCAGCGTAAAGCAAGTGCCTATCCTCTTCTCTTTTCGTTCCCACCCGCCTCCCTTGGCTCTGCCCTCTACTTGCTTATTTTACTCCAACACCGGCCCCCTCTCACGCCCTCCAGGCCACAAGATGCTGATCCCCATCACCGAGGCCCCTAGACCTCTGTTTCCGCCGCCCACTCAGGTCTGGCTCTGACCTCTGCTCCCTCCCCTCCCGCATCTCACCTTGGGGCCGTCCCTATTCTCAGCTCGATCCCGGGTGACCATTGCTCCTCCGGACCCTGGTGTGGACCGGGTCCCTGCTCGCCTGGAGTCTTATATTCCGCGGCCCCATAGTAGGAGGGAAAGGACCCGACCCCGCCCCCTTCGACACCCGGATTCTGCCCTTCTAGGACCCGGCACGAGGCTCCCGGAAAGAGGAGGAATGAAGGGGGGAGGGGAAGGAGAGAAACTGGCCTGGGAGTGTGGGAAGTGAGAGGCGAATGGGGGCACTGGCTGGTTACGGACCATAAGGCTGTATAAGGAGGCGGGACCCAGCTGAAGAGAGGAGGCTATTAGGGGCAGAGCTCGCTTGGGGATGAAATTCAGAGTTCCTCCAGAATTGTAGCTTTCTTGGAGGCTTACTGTACCCTCACTAACCCTCTAACAGAAGTCAGCACCTGGCGGCCCCCAGGCTGAGGTTTAATACATCTCCGAGGTTCGCTTCCTAGTCGAGACAGGGAGCAACCCGAGTGTGCTGGGTGAATCCGTCCGACACAACCGAAGCTCTCCCGGGAGGTGGGAGAGGCGCTCTGTTCTAAGTTAGTTACATTCAAGTCCCCGTACACCTGCGCTCTCACTGAGCGGACAGGGCACTGGTCTAGGCTCGGGCGAGTCACAGTGAGTTATGCAGGAGAGACCCAGCTTATCCCTGCAGGATCTAGTGGAAAAGACCATGTGACATGAAGTAGCCATTACAGAAGCCCAGGGAAGTATGTGATCCGGAAAAAAGGTCTCCTTGAGGATGGCTGGACTGAGGGGGGAACTTCAAGGCAGAGGAAGCAAGTCTTTGAAGTACAGGTAAGAGTAGAGAGGTCTTTCCACTTACAGTACAAGTATTTGATTCAAAAGTAGTCGTAGGAGATTCAGGAGTGTGACTGATGGGACACCTCACGCAAGTGTGCCCGCACTGCTTGCTGCTGGAGGTCCCTGGTGACTGGAGGGGAGCAGGGAGCAGGCAGTTTCACTAAAGGGAAAGCAAGAGATACAAAAAAGGGATCAACACCCACCTCAAACCAAGAGCATGACCCTTTGGGGGCTTCAGGACAAAGTGCCTGAGAAGATAAATCAGAAATTCAACAGGACAGCCAAGTTGCCAGGGACAAAGACATGGAAAGACAGGGTTGCAGACCGAGACGGAAGATAGCTGTGCAGTCAGAGACCAGTGGGGTTTCCTCCAAGCCCTCCCAACGGCCCTCCGCACCTTGCTTTTGTCACGGAGCCTTTCTTGCCAAAGCTCGAGCCGGGAGAGGCACAGACCTTGAGGAGGGGGCTCCCATTTGGAACCAGGGGCCCCAGCACATCCCACTTCTCCGTCCCTCAGCCAAATGGGAGCGCAAATGTGTGGCCCCAACAGCCCCCGCCGCCCCCCTCCTTGGGAACCTGGGCTCGGGCTGAATTTTTCTCACCTGAACGCGAGGCTGGGGGGCCCGGGCTGTTCGCACCCGGGTGTGGGGCCGCCCCTGGCCATATGGGGCAGCTTTATGGCCCGGTGGCCGGATCCGGATGGGAGGAAGAATGACCTGGCGCTCCACCCACGTCAACCATTCGGGACCAGTTCCCTGGCCTCCGCTGTCGCCCAGCCGGGTCCGCCTCAACCTCTTACAACTTTAGATAAGATCGTGGCAAAGGTGACAAACCGCGCATTGGTGGTTCAGTGGTAGAATTCTCGCCTGCCACGCGGGAGGCCCGGGTTCGATTCCCGGCCAATGCAGGAATTTTATTTTCTTTCCTCTTCCCGAAAAATAATAATACATTTGGTAGAATTTCTAAGAAACATCTTCGTTTAAATATTTCTACCAAATATTAATCTTAGCCTTTTGACTATAGCAGAGTTTGCAACCCCAGCCTTAGACCCTGTTTCCGCAGGCCCTCACACTCCCCTCCTCCCAGCCTGGGGTTCCTGCAACTTCCACACCCCTCCCTCCGCCCCCAAGCCCGCACCTCCACAGGCGTGACCCTGAGAAAGGACGCAGTGCTCGGATCCCTACCCCGGGGGTCCTCTGGGCCCCCCGCGGGGGAGGGGCCAGGTCTCCCCGCCCCCCACTCTAAATCCCTTGTTCTTACCACCTCTCTTCCTCTGTTATTTTCCGTTCTCTCTGAAGTACGCTTCCTTTTCTTAAGTCTGTGGGTCTGGGTCTTTCTTGTGCCGCCGCCTTTCCGGGTCTCTGAGTGCCTCTTAGCTTCTCCATCTCTGTATCACTCACGTTCTTTCAAGGTCTCCAGCGACTTCTGCCCTGGGTCTCTCTGGGTCTCAGTGGTCTCGTGTCTTCGCATCTCTGGCTCCGCGTCTCTCCGGTCTCTTGGCGTCTGCATCTCCGCCTCTGGCTCTTTCGAGTCTCTGGTATCTCTCCTCGTCTCTCCTCGTCTCTGTCGCGTCCCGGGACTCTGCGCTCCCACGCTCCTGCCATCCCCTGGGAAGCTCGCTCACACCTCCAGGTTCCTGCCACCTCCCCTCCCCGCCCCTTCCCGGCCGCTTTGATCCCGCACGCGTCGGGCCCGAGGGCTGGCAGGCGGGCGCACCGCCACCTGCAGCGACCACTTGCGAGCGGGGCGGGGCGGGGCGGCGGGGCGGAGCGGCTGGGCTCCCCACGGTCCGCTCGTTTCCGGCGCGCTCCGCCTTCCTTTCCTCCTGGCTCTGTCCGCTGTCCCTGCCGGGGCGCTTGGGCTCCAGGCTCTGGTTCGTTGAGTGAATCTGGATCTCGACCTTAGTCTATCTGAGTCTCTCTCAAACTCACCCTGGAGCTGTCTCTCCCCTGTTTCTTTCAGCCTGTTTCATTTGCTCCAGGGTGTGGGTCTGTCTTCGGATTGTATCTCTTCTCAGCTCTAAGTAGTAACCGTGACCTCCAGAAGGAAACTAAAACAACCCGTGCATCTATCTATATGCCTGTGTGCGCAGCTGCTGGATTCATTCAGTCAGCCCATATTTATGGGGTGCCTCCTGTGTGCCGAGTACTGTAAGGAATACATTGTGTCTGGGCCCTCCTGAAGCTTACATTACAGTGGGAAAGACAGTAACTACGAAAACAGAAAATAACATATGATAGCTTCAGATGATTATAAGGCTGTAAGAAAACAGTAATAATAAAAGGGTCGTGGAGATGACTTGAAAGTGAAGGGCTGCTTTACTCTGAGTGCCCAGAGACAGCCTCTCTGAAGAGGGATATTTGATGCCAGCACAATCAGCAGCCTTGAGTCTAGGCAAAAGGAACTGCAAGTACAGACAGACTCTGAGGCAGGAGAGCTATTTGCTGGTAGGAGCTGGAGAAAGAGGGCCAGGGAATCCTGGATGGAGAATTTGCAGAGTGGCAGAGATCAGATTGGAGAGTTAGGCGTGACCCATCCCATAGGATCTTGGAGAGTACTGAAGGAGTTTGGATTTTAGTCTAAGGGCAATTGGAAGCCAGTGGAGGATTTTCATCAGGAAAGTTGTATTATCTGACTTATATTTTAAAAAATCACTTTGGGCCACACGCTGTGGCTCACGCCTGTAATCCCAGCACTTTGGGAGGCTGAGGCGGGAGGGCCGCTTAAGACCAGGAATCTGAGACCAGCCTGGCCAACATGGCAAAACCCCGTCTCTACTAAAAATACAAAAATTAGCCGGGCATGGTGGCATGCACCTGTAGTCCTAGCTACTCGGGAGGCTGAAGCAGGAGAATCACTTGAACCTGGGAGGCGGAGGTTGCAGTGAGCCGAGATCACACCACTGCACTCCAGCCTGGGTGACAGAACGAGACTCCGTCGATAATAATAATAATAATAATAATAATTAAAAGATCAGCCGGGAGCGGTGGCTCAAGCCTGTAATCCCAGCACTTTGGGAGGCCGACGTGGGTGGATCACCTGAGGTCGGGAGTTCAAAACCAGCCTGACCAACATGGAAAAACTGTTTCTACTTAAAAAAAAAAAAAAAAAAAAAAAAAATTAGCAGGGTGTGGTGTCGAATGCCTGCAATCCCAGCTACTCGGGAAGCTGAGGCCAGAGAATAGCTTGAACCCTGGAGGCAGAGGTTGAGGTTAGCTGAGATTGTGCCTCTGCACTCCAGCCTGTGCAACAAGAGCAAAACTCCGTCTGTGGGGGGGAAAAAAATCACTTTAGGCCGGACAGGGTAGCTCACGCCTGTAATCCCAGCACTCTGGGAAGCCAAGGTAGGTGGATCGCTTGAGCCCAGGAGTTCGAGACCAGCCTGGCCAACATGGTGAAACCCGGTCTCTACAAAAAGTACAAAAGTTAGCTGGGAGTGGTGGCATCCACCTGTAGTCCCAGCTACTTGGGAGGCCGAGGCAGGAGAATCACCTGGGAGGCGGACATTGCAGTGAGCTGAGGTCTCGCCACTGCACTCCCAGCCTGGGTGACAGACCCAGACTCTGTCTCAATGAAAAAAAAAAAAAAATTAGCTGGGGGTGGTTGTGTGCGCCTGAGAGGTGGAGGTTGCAGTGAGCCAAGATCATGCCACTGCACACCAGCCTGGGCGACAGAGCGAGACTCTAAATAGATAGGTAGATACTGTCTAGATCGATTGATGGATCGATTGATAGATAGATAAAATTAAAAGATCACTTTGGCTGACATTTGGAGAATGAAGACAGAGGGCACATTTTGGGGGCTGGAGCAGTTTTCTAGGCACTGACTGCCTTGAGGTGGTGGTGGGAGGAGAAGACATGAAGGGGTTACCCCTAGATTATTATTGGCTTAGGTATAGTCATGCATTGCTTAACGTGTGGATATATTCAAAGAAATGCATCAATAGGCAATTTCATTATTCAAGCATCACAGAGTGTAGTGACGCAAACCTAGAGAGTAGAGCCTTCTACACACCTAGGCTATACCACACAGCCTACTGTGCTCCTAGGTTACCAGCCTGTACAGTTACAGCACACTACTGTACTGAATACTGCAGGCAACTGTAACACAATGGTGTTTGTGTATCTAAACATAGAAAAGGTAATGGATGGCACTACAAAGTTATGACAGCTATGCCATCTTTTAGGAATTTTTCAGCCCTGTTTTATATATATATATATATATATATATATATATATATATATTTTTTTTTTTTTTTTTTTTTTTTTTTTTTTTGAGATGGAGTCTCACACTGTCACCCGGGCTGGAGTGCAGTGGCCCCATCTTGGCTCACTGCAACCTCCGTGTTCTGGGTTCAAGCGATTCTCCTGTCTCAGCCTCCTGAGGAGCTGGGATTACAGGCATGTGCCACCATGCCTGGCTAATTTTTGTATTTTTAGTAGAGACGGGGTTTCACCATTTTGGTCAAGCTGGTCTCGAACTCCTAACTTCATGATCTGGCCACCTCGGCCTCCCTACGTGTTGGGATTACAGGCGTGAGCCACCGCGCCCGGTCACTCCGTCCCAGGCTGGAATGCAATGACTGCGATCTCGGCTCACTGCAAACTCCACCTCCCCCTCCCGGGTCCAAACAATTATCCTACCTCAGCCTACCGCTTAGCTGGGACTACAGGCGCACGCTGCCACCCCCGGCTAATTTCTTGTATTTTAATAGAGATGGGGTTTCACCATGTTGCCCAGGCTGGTGTTGAACTCCTGAGCTCAGGCAATCCGCCTGCCTCAGCCTCACAAAGTGCTAGGATTACAGGGGTAAGCCACCATGCCCGGCCTTTTTTTAAAATATATGTATACGGAGTCTTGCTCTGTCGCCCAGGCTGGTGTGCAGCAATGAGATCTTGGCTCACTAAAACCTCCGCCTCCTGGGTTCAACCAATTCTCCTGCTTCAGCCTCCCTAGTAGCTGGGACTACAGGCACACGCCACCACACCCGGCTAATTTTTTATTTTATTTTTATTTCATTTTATTCTTTTATTCGATTTTATTATTTTTTTGAGACGGAGTCTTACTCTGTTGCCAGACTGGAGTGCAGTGGCGCCATCATGGCTCACTGCAACCTCTTCCTCCCGGGTTCAAGTAATTCCACTGTCTCAGCCTCCCCAGTAGCTGGGATTACAGGCGCTCTCCCCAAGTCTGGCTTTTTTAAAAAATATATTTTAGTAGAGACTAGATTTCACCACATTGGCCAGGATGGTCTTGATCTCCTGACCTCAAGTGATCTCCCCTCCTTGGCCTCTCAAAGTGCTGGGATTACAGGTATGAGCCATTGCACTCCACCATCCCCATTATAATCTTAGCAGACCACCGTGATATATGCAGTCCCTCATTAACCAAAACGGTGTTATGCAATGAAAGACTGTAACTAGGTAGATGGTGGTGGTGGTTTTTAACTGGGATGGGAAACTGTGGGGTAGGGGAGAGGTTTAAGAAGAGAAATCAAGGCCGAGTGCAGTGGCTCAGGCCTGTAATCCCAGCGCTTTGGGAGGCCAAGGTGGGTGGATCATGAGGTCAGGAGTTTGAGACCAGCCTGACCAACATAGCAAAACCCCATCTCTACCGAAAATACAAAAATGAGCTGGGGTAGGGGCATGCGCCTGTAATTCCAGTTACTCAGGAGGCTGAGGCAGGAGAATGGCCGGGAGGCAGAGGTTGCAGTGAGCCAAGATCCTGCCATTGCACTCCAGCCTGAGCAACACAGCCAGACTCCATCTCAAAAAAAAAAAAGGAAGAGAAATCAAGCGTTATACTTTAGCCATATTAGTTAAGACATCCTTGCTGGGCACAATGGCTCACGTGTAATCCCAGCACTTTGGGAGGCTGAGGCAGGTGGATCATGAGGATCGGGGTTTGAGACCAGCCTGGTCAA